TTTGAGTCATAGGTTACCATATTGAAGTAAAAAGTATTATATGTACAGGTGCTTCATATGGTGAAAAGAGGCGGAACTTCCTGTCATTCATCCAAAATTTTAGAGCTAAGTAACCAATCTATAGTTGGTTAAAGAGACTTAGAAAAATGATGAATAATTTACCGTTTTGTTTATACTTATGAAAATGAATCCTTTTGAGGCTACTGGAAATATTTGATCAGTGTGAATGTTTAGCAATAAAACAAATAATATCTAGGTTACTGAACCAGTAATGAAGAAAAGGTCAAAAATATTGTGATGAAGGCTTCAAAGGTGTCACAACAACCAACAAACTAGCAGAAGAATCGAGAAAGCCAGGAATCTAATTGAACATAGAGAAGACAGAGGTGATGAAGATAACCAGCCAACAACAAATACCAGTCACTTTCGACCGAAGAAATTCGATGAAGGTCACTACCTTCGATTGTCTAGGCACCATCTCCTTAGCTACAGCTAGGAGGCCAACGTGGATACAAATTTTAAAACTAGTCGTGACCGGTAAGGCAGGTTACAACGTCATAAATCTGAAATCAGGTTGGAAAGGCTTTACACTCAGCGCAAACAACACAGTTCGGATTTTCATTACCAAATTCAAGTCTATATGGGTCACACACTTGACGTTCCCAACAAGAAAATGCATTCTCAGTAGGTTGCAGTCTCTTATCAACAGATGGTTTCATTGGCTCCATGTTGAAGATCAAGTGGTGAGAAAGAATCAGCAACAAGAAACTCAATGAACCAACTAACCAATAACCTATTGCTTAAGAAATATGCCAAAGGAAATGGAAATGCATTGGGCACATGCACAAGAGACCATTCAGTGTAATCGTACGTTGAGCCAGAGCTCGAGTCCAATCAGAATGGGAAATGACCAGTAAGGAGTTTGAATGTGACTTGAGAGATATGGTGTGAGGAGGTGATGAGAATTTGTGAGACTTGGAGTATCACCAAAACATTTCGAATAGGCTTCGGACTTTTATCTACAGCAGGAATGAGCTCTGCCAACAAACTAACTGAGAACCTGTTACAAAACAAAATTTTGAAGGAAATGGACATGGGCCAGACATACGCTGAGGAGGTCATTAAATAGCATCACGCTCTAGACTATGTCACGAGCAGTACCCGAATGAAAAATAGGTGGATGAGACAGTGTAAGGTGGTGAGAGCCAATTGACAATCGTACAGCCAGGTACAAATGAATATAGAAAACATGGTGGAATGGAGGTGTTTGTTGGATCTCTATGCTTCAGTTAGAACCTAGGAGAATAATTTTGGAAGGAGATGGTACTCAAATTGCAAACTATATTTAACAGAATTGATTAGGATGAAAATTGAATATGGTGTTGATTTGTTTTGAAAGCTGGATGATTTAACTGAGAGGTTTGAGGTGAAAATGTTTCGCAGACGGTGATTCTCAAAAGTTTTGTGTTTAACATGCTTAGCTAAGAAAGCATGAAATAACAGAAATATTCTTCTGATCTAGGAATCTAAAGTCGAATAAACCAGTCAAGCACGCACTTTTTTCATTGAATGAATTCCTAAGTTTACACAAACTTTTACTGAATTAAGGAGATGTTGTAAAATGCCTCTTCCCAAAAATTCTTTTTTTTATAAAATGGTTCAACATCAAAAAGCCAGAAAAAAAGAAAACTAAGGTCATGAAGTTAAAGTTATACGTAATTTTAGCGTTTAGACCGAATTAATAATAAAACGGTAGAATCATCACGTTGCCATGACGTACATTCAGCAGTTTCACAAAAGGATTAAAAACTCTTTAGTTACAACTTAAAATGAACAGGAACTTTGGATAAAAATAACTTTATCGGATAGTAAATATTAAGACAAATAGCTGTTTACGATGGCCATACTAACTACGAAAGTTGGACATACTTCTCTTGAATACATAGGATCGGCTTGAGACAGGTTAGATCTTGTATTAACAAGATCCGATAAGATCTCTAAAATGGGAGTGAGATCATAATATCTGGATACAACTAATCAAGCAGTGGTGACTTAAGCATTCAAGTCAATGCTATGTATTCAAAAGAAGTAAATCCAGCTTTTTTCTTCACTCTGTTATCATAAACAGTCAGTTTTCCTAATAACTCTAATTCGATTAAATTTCTTATCCAAACTTCGTGTTTATTTTTGGTAATTATTATGTTTGTTTTTTAATCCATATTTGCATAAACAGTCAATTTGCTCAATAAATACTATCCACCTTATTTTTTATGCTGAATTCCTGTTCACTTTTGTGATTACTACGTTTTAAATACTTGTTTATAGTCTTGCTGTTCGTTGTAATTTGATAGTCAACCAGAATTAGCTCTGGTTCTTTCACTATATATAGATGAATTAACAGGCTGGGTGATTTCTGTCTGAGAGAAATTTTTCTTCGCAGCAACCGTCATTTTAATGTTTTAAGTGATAAGGTACACTGTTTTCCGATTAAAATCAATAAAATAAGATTTACTAACAATGAATTGGTGGCCTGCTTGAAACTTGGGCTACCGGAAACCTGCATCAATGTATTGCATATAGTTTGCCTTATTTAGCTTGTCTAAATTTACTAAAATTTGACCTCTGGTGGTATTGTTCACACTAGTGAGTACTTAAAACACTTACAACTTGCTGACTGACAAATTTTTATTAAACACGTGAACAAGAATTGTCATCGGTGGCAGTTTATCCCTTTACGTGAGATGAAAGTTCCATAGTAGTATCCTTCGTGCACAAAATGTACTCTTGAAGTTTTATTAATTGGCATTTCTCGAAGGCTAAGATGAGGTATCATGGTGCATTGGTTTGCGTTTCATGTCAAATGGAACATTGTCACATTATCTACTCTCAATTAATCTTTTATTTGAAGATTCCGATCGAAGAGGAAATATCGTGCAATAAACTCCGTTGAATATTCTTTACATTATATAAATATTCTCCAGAATAATAATGATAATTATAATTTATTATATCCTTTAATTTCTAGAGTAACATAGGGCTTCAGCTGCGCGTCTCTATTGCCTTCGGTTTTCTGCCAACTTTTTCACTCCGCTTCAAGTCTACCCACATGCTTTCATTTCCTCTTCACATGGTATTCTGCATGTCAACCTCGCACTGACGACCAACTTGCCGCTACCCTTTCAAGTTCCAGTCAAACAATGGCTTGTCTAGTGATGTCATTTGATGGTTTCCTCAGCGTATAGTCAGCCAATCCATCTCCATTTATTCCTGCCTATTTGTTTCACAATCGGCTCCTGGTTGGTTCACTCCCGGAGATCTTTGTTGCTGCTCTTTTTTGGCCATCTGATCTTGAGTATTGAGCGAAGACAACTGTTAATGAAGGTCTGAGGTTTGTTTGAGATGCTTGTCAGCCACGTCTCGTAAACCGTCAATGCCCAGCTCTTGCTACACTGGGACTCACGCTGTTCCTTGAAGTTTCTCAGAAACGCTTAGTAATAACGGACGCAAAACCAAAACACCGATTGGCTTCTCGAGAATTCTTTATTGTAACACCAACATATAGGCAGCTTTACAATTAAGTTTTAACTAAGGTTTCTGACAGTTTCGGTCTGACTTCTTTCTGAACAGCGACCGATGAGACGATGACTGGTGTATTGATGCCTGAGCGAAAATGGGGGAAGTTGGTTTTGAGCAAACAACCATGAATTGATCGTTCAATCTTCAACTACATTGACAATGCTCTTTATGACGTGACAAGTCTCTGATCCACATAGTAAGTAGCACTGACTTCACATTGGAGTTGAAAAATTCGGATCTTATTTTTGATGGTGAGTGCTGTCGACCTCCACACAGACTTAAGAGTAATGAAAGCTTGTCTTGCTTTTCCGATTCTGGCTTTGATATCCTCGTCAGTTTCGTTTGCCTGTAGTTAAAACGATGCTTTCCAGGCAGGTAGGTGAAGGAGGTTGTTTCTTTCAGGTTCCTCCCATTTGTGTTGGATGATTGTTGTCTGTTGTTGTTGCTGTTGCTGTTGGTGTTGGCCAGGAATCTTCATCACTTACCTCTGTTTTCTCTATGTTCACCTGAAGTCCTATCTTTGATGCTTGTTCTGCCAGCTTGTTGCTTTTCACTTGCATATCTTCCAGTTTGTGGGAAATCAGACACATATATCATCGGCGAAGTCCAGATCCTCCAAGCCGTTTTTTGTGTGAGTCCATTTTCTGCTTGTTTCCTCATTGCTCATTGTCTGTCGCATTATCCAATGCACTGCGATCAGGAAGATCATTGGCGATAGTAGACAGCCAGCTTGCCTCACTCCCGTCCTCACTTCGGAGGCTTCCGTAAGTTTCCCGTTGTGAATCACTTTACATGCAGCATAATCGTACAACTGTTGGATGAGATGTATAATTGTCGATGGAACCCTGTAGTAGCAGAGTACTTGCCAAATCACCTCTCGATAGACGCTGTCGAAGGTCATTTCAAAGTCGATGAAGTTGAGTGAGGTGGAGAGGTGACTGGCATTCCAAGCTTTGTTCAACGATGATCCGTAGAGTGGCGATTTGATCAATACATGATTTGTTTCTCTTGAGTTCAGCTTGCCTTGGTCGAAGTTTTTCATCTAGGGCTTTTTTGATCCTCTCCAGGATGATGCGGTTTAGTATTTTGCTTGGGATAGACGGTAGCATAATTCCACGCCAGGTTTTGTATTGACTTAAGTCTCCATTCTTTGGTAGTTTGAATAAGTATCCTTTCTTCCAATCCTCCGGTACTCTGCCCTCTTTCCACACCTTCTCCAGTATTGGCGTCATCCTTCAGAATGCAGCTATTATTGTTTTTTTATATAATTAAAAATCAGTCAAAAGCTTTCAGCATAACTAGAGTTGGTTGTTTGAAATAAAAACACCCATAAAAGAGATAAATGACCATAAGATAAACTTTTCGCATATACCATTGAGAGCATTTTAGCAAACACTATTATACATAGGTAAAATGATAATTACCGAAAGTTAAATCCAGAGGCAATTTTCGCATGTGCATCATCTAGTCGGCGAAATGAATACGTCGGATTACAGTATTGAACATCCCAATCTAGATCGCATTTCCAATTGATATCAATGCCAATTACACCACCCTAAGTTAAATTATGCAAAAATAAAATAACATTGAAATCAGTAGCAGAAATTAATCAATCAAGAAATATCACTGACTAGATAAAACTTTAATAGTTATTAGAGAGGACAATATATAAGTAAACATTTTAACCGTTCTCGGAAGCAGTCACAGAGGACTTCAAACTTGAACCTTGAAGTGTCAGTATTGATGGCGCTGGTGAGATTGCTAGACTCATGCTTAATTTTACTTTTTTACTGAGCTTACTATAATAAATAAGGCGGCAGAAGTGCGATGATAGGTGGGAATCGAGCGCAGATGAGGTTCTTGGGTATGAAACAGTCCACTACTGGAATTGTAACTGTACTATTTCTTTTAATTAATACCTTAGACTGGCGTTCACGTTAAAATCTAGGTCATGGCAGGATTAAAACACATATAAACTGCTAGTCTAACTCTCTGTCAGCTGAACATTCATATCTAGTTGCTATGAAGTTCAACTGGTATTGATACCAAGTAGACCAAGCTTGACTGCTGGTGGGTTAATTAGTGAAAGTAATATATTACTCATTCACAAGACAGTTGAGAGCTACTCATTGTGATAGCAGTTAGACATCGGTGCTCAGCTAGTACAGTTGCAGACTAGTCACTAATTAGAACTCCACTGAGACTTAGATTGAAACCGATTCTCTTAAAATCATATATAAAAATATTTGATATGACTCTGAAGTGTAATGGTATTATGGATGAAGTGACAAAATTCATGATATCTAGTTATTTTGATATCAACGAAATATTAAGACGTACCCACATCTTAAAACTTGATATCACAAAAATATTCAACATTCTCAGTTAACATGTGATACCGTTTACATACCCATGTAACGATGTTTCTATGAAACATTTTTCTAAAACCTTTGTAGAAACGAAACATCTTTTCATTGAAAGTAATATAATCATCACAGTTCTCAGTGTCTTAAGCTACTTGTTAAGAACACTTGTTTAATTGTGTGGGCATTTACTATATACCAGTTGTCCACGTTGTGGATGTTGGTAACTTCTTAGGGTACTTTAGACAGAAGCAGCATTCAAACGCTTGCTTGAGACTGACGAAACGAAGTCCGTTCAAAGCAGTTTATAAAGTTGTGTCGTTATTAGGGATTTAGTTCGCACGCACACATAAACATCATGGCAGTCAAATGCGAGAAGTTCAATGAAAAAGGGAGTACGTCAAGTGACATAATGATGATGACCGTTTGGGTAATAGTGTTTACTAGTGGTTGCATTGTAGTTTGCATAAATAAAAAATACGACACCAATTACCTGATATATAATAAAATATCTCCTTGTTCCTTGAACCTTAGCGTCACACATGCAAAATGTTGATCACAAACTAGCATTACAATGAGGTGTTTGCTCAGTAGACACGACATGATTACGCTACTTATTCACATTAGGAAAATGATATATTGAAGTTGTAGACCTGAACCACAGGAGACTGAAAGAAAGTCAGAAACTGTGGTTGCAGATAACAGAGATGGGATACTAGGATATTTGTTCCTTTCAAATTCTCTAAACAATTTATGCCTTTGAGTAAAGACCTATATTTATTGATCCAGTAATAAGCCCGGGGTATTTTAGTAATCATATATGACACATAAAGACAGTAAATAGAACATGGCTTAGTACAGTCAAAGGATTACTCAAGGAGTGGTCATCTATTCATATTTTTTCAGCTAATAATGCCAGCTTACATGGGTGTATTTGTATAAATGAATTGTATAAATGAAAGGAGCAATAAAAAGATGCTTCCCAGCAGTTAGGCTGGTGACAATATAGAGCACTACATGCTCTATAAGCCAATCGAAACTGGATAAGTACCCTGCTGATGTTACCTCTAACTGCATTTATAAATTAATGTGAAGGATAGAAAGAAGGGCTTCTATCCTGTTTTCAGAGTATATTCTAAGAAACTTATGCTTGAAAAGAAGCAGATATTTACAAAGTGTAGTTATCAGATAGCCTTGTGGATATGGGTCACTTTGTCAAAATTTCCAAATCTTTCAAAATACCAAACATACCGAGGACAGTGAATCTACTACAATTTGCTGAAGCAATTGCAATGAAACGACTCAGACCAAACTAATGCACACAGAAAGAGAGTGCAGTTAATCTTTCACTCCCTTGGTAACCGTATTCATTTTATTATACTGATTATTCAAACATATTAGTGAGCTCAGCTAACTGAGCAAGTTTTCAACTTGATGAACTTCAAACTTCTTGAGTTGCCATGTTGGCACACAAGCTAACACCGTTTTTAAAATTTTTCTGTTTTCTCTCTTCTCTCACCCCCTTTTTTCATTGTTTGATAGTATATAATTTGGTGGTAACTTAAACTAAAAATTGTAATACTTATATTCCGGATGTGTTCATCTTATAATGTTTTCTTTAATACCTTTCAAACAGTGAGGTATGAAATGTCATTATTTATAATCATTGTAATTTCAGGTATTTTACAGCTAATGGAAACATGTGAAATAGAATGATAATATAATTTTATACTCTAAATCTGGTCTTTCTTTCTGCATCGAAATTTATCAAGGAAACCAGATGTATGGAATGAAGAATACATACTGTAAGAAACATTTCTGGATTTGAAACATTTATTAACATTGAACAATTTGTATATGTATAAATATGTACGTCGGTGGCATAGTGGTTAGTACGCTTGCCGACAATGCACATGGTCCAGGGTTCGATCCCTGGCCGACACACTCCTTTACCTTGCTAAGCCAGAAATAATGCTGGGAGAGAGAAAAGGTTGACCATGAGGTTAGCAACCCCATCCTGTAAAACAAACACTGCTACAGAAACTGCAAGCCACTAGCTTGAAGCCCTATGTTCCACTACTGAACGTGAAGGAAAAAAATATATATATATACATATATATATGTGTATAATTCAGAGAAGATTAACCAAGCTGTGCTTGTCTCACAGATATTCAAGCAAAAATATCACATATGCTGTCATCATGTATAATAATTAATAGAACGTGAGACATGTTTTAATGTAACACCATGAAATCGTCATCATAGAACAGAATTAACATCAGTAAAAAAAAACCAGATTATAACAACATTATGAATAAAAATAGGTAGTTTACTTTTTTATGAAGTAAATAAAATTGGTCTGATTATCTTGCTGTGTTGTAAAGCAGAAAAATCAGTAAGTAGATCAGTACATTTTCATTTTTATTCTGTCTAGGAATACATTAACCCATTCTCATGTTGTCCACTGGAGGATAATATGCACTATAAACATCATGTCAGTAATGTTTTTTTATCAGTACTGCCTTATCAGAAAGAGATATAATCAAGTTGCATGTGTGTGAGTGTGTGTTTGTGTGTGTGCGTGTACGAAGAGGAATAGGAACAACATAAATGACTGAACGATATCAGGAATAATTAATTTCTTATATACAGTGTTACGCAAAACTCTACGTAAATGAAATAATTGAATGATACAACGTTAAATACCTATGCATTTATGAGACAAAACATTTCTGGATGTTTTACTTCATGGTGTTATTTTCATAATGTTCTCTGATATCGGTGGCACTGAGGTTGGAAATAAGTCAAGTATTACCAATGCTGACATCAGTTTCCACTTAAATCTTTGTTTTCGAATTCATATCTTGTTGATTTTTAAAAAATTCTCTTGTTTGACTTTCTAGCATAACTAAACCGTTTCACTGACAATTTATTATTTATTTATTCTATTCAATCTGCTTTGTTGTTCTTCTTTAGTATTTCCGAATTTTCTCAAAGTTCTTTTTCCTTCATGTGCCCAGTGGAACATAGGGTTTCAAGCTAGTGGCTTGAAGTTTCTGTAGCAGTGTTTTTATTTTTACAGGATGGGGTTGCTAGCCCCATGCTCAACCTTTCCAATTTACCAGTATTATTTCTGGCTTGGCTAGGTAAAGTCGTGCGTTTGTCAGGTATCGAACCCCGGACCATGTGCATGGTCGGCGACCTTCCTAACCGCTGTGCCATCGTCTCTAACTCTCTCAAAGTGAGGCTGTTAAATTACGTAGCACTTTAAGGACTGTTGCAGGTAGACTCTTTAATTCTTGCAAATAACTGTCAAAAGTCATCGTTTCGAATGGTGAATATTCTATTTACTATTTTTAATTGTTTCCATGTATCTCCGGGAAGAAAGAGAAGAAATTTCGTAAGAATTATTGGTCGTAAGGTTGAATATAAAACTTCAATCAGGCCGCATTTAGCGCGGATGTTGTATAAAGCGACAGATAAGAGTTTATAGAACTACTTCATAATCTGTAAATAAACAGTTACTAAATTATTCCATTATACAGAACTGACACATTCATTGATAGTACTTTCATAACTTTATATTTATTCATGTTGAATACAAAAATTGATTATATGATAATATCTATGCATCAGTGGTTCAGTGATAGAGCACTGGCTGACGATACACGTGGTCTGGCGATAACCCTCACCTCCCTTACCCGGTTACAAAGAGGAAAGGTTAGGCGTGACTCTAGCAACCTCGTCCGTAAAAACACCATTGCTTCTGAAACTGTATTTAAGAGGCTTGAAGCCCTAAGTTTCACTGGTAACACAAATGAATAAAAACGTTTTAGTTTTAAATTTGACCACAGACAAATTTGTTATCTTGAGTGCTTCATTTTATATCATAAGCTAATCTTATGCCATTTTCCTTATCTACTTTATATAGCATGCCTTCGTCCCTAACTCAATAAATATGACCACATCAAAATTGTCCACCTGAGCTACAAATCTCCTATCTAAAAAGATCTCTTTCCGTAACTTCATTTCAAAGCTGTACGGTTATTAACGGGGTTCATACATACATGTACAACGTAGATTTACAACACAGGTTAAAGTTTACTATCAGTTAGTATTAAAGCAAATCAGAATGCATGAGTAATAACTATGTTAAGAAGAATGGGAATAGTTTCACGTAATCAAGAGGGTT